GACTTAGTACTTGGTGGCAAAACCCTTGTTGGCAATCACAGAGGTCAGACGTTTCTTGTAGTTGGCCACCAGGTTTGCACACATCTCAGGAGGGATTTTGTCCCACTCCTCTTTGCAGATCTTCTCCAAGTCATTAAGGTTTCGAGGCTGACGTTTGGCAACTCGAACCTTCAGCTCCCTCCACAGATTTTCTATGGGATTAAGGTCTGGAGACTGGCTAGGCCACTCCAGGACCTTCATGTGCTTCTTCTTGAGCAACTCCTTTGTTGCCTTGGCCGTGTGTTTTGGGTCATTGTCATGCTGGAATACCCATCCACGACCCATTTTCAATGTCCTGGCTGAGGGAAGGAGGTTCTCACCCAAGATTTGACGGTACATGGCCCCGTCCATCGTCCCTTTGATGCGGTGAAGTTGTCCTGTCCCATTAGCAGAAAAACACCCCCAAAGCATAATGTCCCCACCTTCATGTTTGAGGGTGGGAATGGTGTTCTTAAAGTCATAGGCAACATTCCTCTTCCTCCAAACACGGCGAGTTGAGATGCCAAAGAGCTCCATTTTGGTCTCATCTTACCACAACACTTTCACCCAGTTGTCCTCTGAATCATTCAGATGTTCATTGGCAAACTTCAGACGGGCAGGGGGACCTTGCGGGCACTGCAGGATTTCAATCCTGCACGGCGTAGTGTTACCAATTGTTTTCTTGGTGACTATGGTCCCAGCTGCCTTGAGATCAGACAAGATCCTCCCGTGTTTTTCTGGGCTGATTCCTCACCGTTCTCATGATCATTGCAACTCCACGAGGTGAGATCTTGCATGGAGCCCCAGGCCGAGGGAGATTGACAGTTATTTTGTGTTTCTTACATTTGCGAATAATCGCACCAACTGTTGTCACCTTCTCACCAAGCTGCTTGCCAATGGTCTTGTAGCCCATTCCAGCCTTGTATAGGTCTACAATCTTGTCCCTGACATGCATGCTTGGAGAGCTCTTTGGTCTTGGCCATGGTGAAGAGTTTGGAATCTGATTGATTGCTTCTGTGGACAGGTGTCTTTTTTACAGGTAACAAGCTGAGATTAGGAGCACTCCCTTTAAGAGTGTGCTCCTAATCCCAGCTCATTATCTGTATAAAAGACACCTGGGAGCCAGAAATCTTTCTGATTGAGAGGGGGTCAAATACGTATTTCCCTCATTAAAATGCAAATCAATTTATAACATTTTTGACATGCGTTTTTCTGGATTTTGTTGTTGTTATTCTGTCTCTCACTGTTCAAATAAACCTACCATTAAAATTATAGACTGATCATTTCTTTGTCAGTGGGCAAACGTACAAAATTATCAGCCCGCGGGCTGTGGACCTCCTGGTGGTGGCCTGCTCTCAAGTGTGTCTCGGGTGATGTGTGGTGGTGGTCTGGTCTCAGTTTGTCTCTAGGCTGATGTGTGGTGGTGACCTGGTCTCAGTGTGTCTAGGGTGATGTGTGGTGGTGACCTGGTCTCAGTGTGTCTCTAGGGTGATGTGTGGTGGTGGCCTGGTCTCAAGTGTGTCTAGGGTGATGTGTGGTAGTGGCCTGGTCTCAGTGTGTCTCTAGGGTGATGTGTGGTGGTAGTCTGGTCTCAAGTGTGTCTAGGGTGATGTGTGGTGGTAGTCTGGTCTCAGTGTGTCTCTAGGGTGATGTGTGGTGGTGGCCTGGTCCCAGTGTGTCTCTAGGATGAAGAGTGGTGGTAGTCTGGTCTCAGTGTCTCTAGGGTGATGTGTGGTGGTGACCTGCTCTCAAGTGTGTCTCGGGTGATGTGTGGTGGTGGCCTGGTCTCAGTGTGTCTCTAGGGTGATGTGTGGTGGTAGTCTGGTCTCAGTGTGTCTCTAGGGTGATGTGTGGTGGTGACCTGCTCTCAAGTGCGTCTCGGGTGATGTGTGGTGGTGGCCTGGTCTCAAGTGTGTCTATGGTGATGTGTGGTGGTGGTCTGGTTTCAGTGTGTCTCTAGGGTGATGTGTGGTGGTGACCTGGTCTCAGTGTGTCTTTAGGGTGATGTGTGGTGGTGACCTGGTCTCAAGTGTGTCTAGGGTGATGTGTGGAGGTGGCCTGGTCTCAGTGTCTCTAGGGTGATGTGTGGTGGTGACCTGCTCTCAAGTGCGTCTCGGGTGATGTGTGGTGGTGGCCTGGTCTCAAGTGTGTCTAGGGTGATGTGTGGTGGTGGTCTGGTCTCAGTGTGTCTCTAGGGTGATGTGTGGTGGTGGCCTGGTCTCAAGTGTGTCTCTAGGGTGATGTGTGGTGGTGGCCTGGTCTCAAGTGTCTCGGGTGATGTGGTGGTGGCCAGGTCTCAGTGTCTCTGGGGTGATGCATGGGGTCATGATTAGTGCACGAGCACAATGTCAAGCTTGAAGCCCACTGAGGTGAAGGAGGGACGCTCACGTGGCCTACCGACTCGTCTCCGTTGCCCGTCATTGCTAAAGACCGTGACGACGATCGCACACGGTCAGCCGTTGTGCGCCAAAGTCAACAGCCGAACGTGTTTTAGGAGAGCTCCACGAGTGGTTGCAAACCTCTTGGCACTGAGGAATCCTCAAAGCCGCTAGCAAGAGGTAAAGGACGTCACCGTAGTAATGCAACATAATTCAGGGTGCGCAGCGCACGACTACAATCTCCACAACACCTGCAAGTCCCGACTGGGAACGGCCGCTCTACATGAAGGCTACCCGTGTCTCTCTTGCGGATACGGGATACATCTGCTATAGCTTTTAGAGGCATTTGAACGTAGGCAGGGCAAGCACTGAACTGTATAATAGTCTCTTTCTTCCGCCTGATGACGATTGCTTGGGTTGCGATCGAAACGTCGTGATCTATCAACTTTTCTATCTACGTGACTTTACCGAAAGAACCAAAGAGCATGGATTCCTGCAGTCACGAAAGCTTCACTTGTGTGAGTGGGGTATTTAAAATTGTATCTCGGATATGGATAAGCTCCTTAACTTATTAGACCTCTTTTCAACTGTACATCCGAGCTGAGCCGGGGCCGTGCCAAGTTATCCTAGCATGGCACGGGAGGCACTTGGTCACTTTTCCACTGTATGTACTGTATGGTGAACTTATTTGGCACCGTACATAGCCAACAATGCAAAATCAGAGGTGAGGGGGAAGGACAATAAACTAAACACAAACAGCAGTTCTAAAGAAATGAGCTTTCAATCTAGATCATTTTAAAGTGCATAGCTCCAGTGGCTTCCTATTATCGGAAGAGCGTTCCAGACAGCCGCAGAAGCTTATCTAGCAGCTTTGCGATGCGGTGACTTGTCTTTGTTCGATGGCCGGCCAAAAGTCGCCGCTGCGAGGATGACCGGAGCTCGCGTGAACCCGTGGACATGCCGTGCCGTTAAACGCCGCACGCACTGAAAGTTTAGATGCACGTCGATTTAAACGGGGTGATGCTGTTTCGTCGTTGTATTAACCAATTTAACACACAATCAATGCATCATTAACCCCATACCGGGCCCTGCTTGGCCCCGAGCCACAACGAGATATCACATGAAGCCAGCGTATCGTGAGATGGTTCTGGCTCTGTATGGGAAACACAGTGAGGGCCCTGCTCTGGCTCGGCTCAAAAGTGCCACAGCGGGAACGGGGTACAAGAGGTCTACGAATGTAACTGTGGCTTCCACACAGCCATTCAGGATGTCTTGCTGTACCTCCAGGAAAATGTAATCGCTTGTTCACTCATAACATTTGAGAAATATCGCTTTTATAATGAAGCACACGACAGACGAAAACAACCACGTTGGATGAGAGCACATGCTAAAGAACACATATGGACAATATTTAACACAATGGATACCTTGACAAATTGGGTCTTCAAGATTCAGACTTGGGGGACTTCGGATTCAGTGTAAACGGTCAATAGATTAAATTGGATAGGATAAGGCAACCAACTGAGAATTCTAACATGGGCTGTAGAATCAACGGTGGTTGGGCTGTCCGGATGCTTCGTGATTACAAACTAAGCCACACATGAGCATTGCACACGTAATGCAGTGTCCTGTGTTCCAAAGTATCATTTGGGTTCTTTTGTAGATTGTAATATTCTGGATTTAGAACATTAAATTGTAAATTAATAAATCTGTGGATTATATTTATCAATGCCATGAATATTTCGTGAAATTTGTAGACAGAATGACAGAGGATGAACACATAAGCACCTAACCCATAGCCACCGGATTAGATTGGAGAGAGCATTCCCATTATTTTCCAGCTTTAATAGCATTTCCCTAGCCCACAAAGCACTTCACCTGGTTCAGAAGATTGCTCACTTAAATATTTAATGATTAGGCGTGTTGTACACTGCCAACTATTTCTCAGCAATCTGTAACAATTGTACTGGCAAGAGTAGCAAAACATTTTTTAAAGCATTTCAGCAACACAGATAACCTTTCCTTATTTTCAGCAACGCTGAGTGGGTCTGTACAGAGCGTGGATCACCCCTGGTGAGGAGCTGCAGGTTACTGCCAAACATCCCAACACTCTGAGAAAACAGACCGTCTGCATTTGCAGAAGGCAGTCCATTTCTCTGCTAGAAGATGCAGTTTGTGCGTGAACTGGAAGTCACTCGGGACGCCTGAATTGAGGAATAAGGGTGCAGAATAGTTAGACGTGCGACTCGCTGCACCCATTTAAGATCTCTTGCCAATCACAAGCATGATTGAGGATTCCATTCAGACTCGTGTCAACGTGGGCGAGTGAGGTGACCTCTGCACGGGCTGCGATCTACATCTTCCGTACAAATGCTTTCTTGGGGCGCCCCGGTGGCAAGATGTTAACGCCCTCGCCTGGTATGCAGGAGGTTGTTAGTTCGATCCCGTCCCTGAAGCCAGTATATGTGGAGTTTGCATGTCGCTCTCCCCGTGGTCGCGTGGATTTTACTCCGGCTCCTCCGGCTTTTCCCTCCACGTTTAGAATCGACATGCATTTAAGAGTATTTGGCTGATATAAATGTACACATGTTGATAAGCCACTTTGTTCAGCTGTCATTTGTGGCCAGGTCACTTCTGAAAAAGAGCTACATAGATCACTGGGCATCACCTGGTAAAATAAAACAAAAATAGCCTCACAGCCCGAGGAACCGTTGGGGGAGGGGGTACACGGGGGCCCCTCCGGCCGCAACCGTGCATCTTGGCCGAGTCACCAGGAGCGTCGATCGGCCTCAGCCTTGCAGCAGCTTCTCGGGCTGGGAGATGGCGCTGTAGAGCGTGTAGCCGAGCTCGTCCACCTCGTCCTCCGAGAGTGGCGCCAGCAGGTTGAGCGCAGGGCAGAAGGCGGCGGGGAGGGAGCCGCGCTCCAGCCGCTCCACGAGCTCTCGCAGCAACTCCAAAAAGCGCTCGGCCAGCGCGTCCTCGGCCCAGTCGACAGCGCCGGCATCGCACGCGTGCAGGATCAACGAGCGCAGGTGCTCGGAGCGCAGCCGCTCCAGCCCCGGGTGCGTGCGGCACACGGCCTTGAGCAGCTTGAGGCAGAGCAGGCGGGAGCCCGAGTCCCGGGCATCCAGCTCGCGCAGCCGCTCCGTCTCGACGGCGCGGAAGCTCTGGCGCCAGAGCGTCTCTGCGTGCCGCCCCCCGGCGCCGCCGGCGTCCCCGGGCCGCGCTACCAGCGTGCAGCTCGCCAACGTGACGCGCAGGAGCACGTCCACGCGCAGGCGGCGCTCCCCCATGCCGTCCGGTGCCCCGTCACCCTCGCCGTCGTCCTCCCCTTCCCGGTACGTTACCTCCAGCGCCAGCCCGTCGGCCGGCGCGCACGGGCGCACGCGATACCCGAGCGCGGCGCCGATGGCCGGCCAGTTGACGCTGTCGGCGACGATGCGGCGCAGCGCCTCTGCGATGGCGACCGGGGAGAGGTACGCGCCCACGAGCCAGCGGTCCCAGACGCTCAAGCCGCGTGGGAAGTACTCGGCGTTGTCGCGACGCAGCAGCCAGCACCCTGGCGCCGCCATGATGGTCTCCTCTCCCGGCACCGCCGTCCACAGCCGCTCCTCGAGCAGCAGCGGCAGGGCGAGCGCGACGCGGTCGGGAGCCACCACCGCCAGGTCCTCGCACAGCCCCCCGCACAGGCTCATGTCGTCCAGCGGCAGCTCCGAGTGCCGCGCGCGCAGGAACTCGCGCAGCTCCGAGCAGATCTCCAGCGCCACATGCTTGGCCGCCGCCACCTGGGACGGCGCCACCAGCACGCGGCGCCGGTAGAAGGAAAGTAAATGCCGCTGCAGCGGGGCGCGGCGCGGGTCCGGAGCCGGCACGGCTCGTCCAACGTGAAGCCCGGCGCCCAGAGCCAGGCTGTTGGCCGAGGAGCCTGAGGAGACGCGGCACAAGCGTGGGGCCGGTGAGCACGAGGATGGCGGACAGAGCGAGTGCGGCAATGGTGGGGGGGGGGGGGAAATGCAGCACCGTTTGGGGTGTAGGAAGCGCCCAAAAGACGTGACCGCATCTGTAGACGCTGGACACCCGTGGAATGTGCATCATGAGGACACGGGCAATCAGGGAAGATTAAGGTAAGCCCTCGCTTAACGCGCGGTGTTCACACAAAGTGCTTTCGAGAGAATGCGGTTCTTCCATGTGGGAACATTTCTCACACAACACGAAACACTCACCATGATAACACGGTTTCTGAGTGTATGGTTTCTGAGTGGTTGACAACTACTTTCTTAAACTGCGCAGCTGTGCGATACATTGACAAAGTACGCGGAATTATAGAGTAACGTGGCGGCGTACACTCAAGTTATTTGTCCCGCTATCGCACTGTGTGTGCGGAGTACATCATATCTCGCTAAACCTTATCATTGAATTATTTATGGGGAAATGTTTTTGCTTAACGGATTTTTCACTTAATGCGGCACGTTTCGAGGACTGGCTGCATTTCACATGTCAATAAGTCGGGGGCCAGAACCGAATCACAAATCACAGTGAGAGCCGAGTCGTGAACGCCAGTCAACTACCCCCCCCCCCGGCCCGAGCGTCGTACTTTTGAGCTGTTCGTCGTCGAGGACGGCCGCGTCACCCGCCAGGCCCTGGGGCAGGCTCTGCAGCGAGCGGCTCACAGTGGAGCGCATGTCGTGCGACAGCAGGCGTGGTGATGCCCCCACCCAGCTCGGCTCCTCCCAGCTGCTCAGCCCAGCGATGCCCACGTCCTCGGGCTTGCGCGTGGGGCTGACAGGGGCGCTGACGGCGCGGTCGTATGCCTGCGCACAGGCCCAGTCGTGCCGAGGTTAGTTGATCTCGTCAAGAAGCGTAAACCGTCACGCATACTCCGGTCATCCTCGCAGTGGCTTTTGGCTGGCCATCTAACAAAGATGGTCACTGCATCGCGCACTTTCGGATGCGCTTCTGTGGTCGTCTGGAACGCTCTTCCTTTCTATATTAGGAAGCCACTGGAGCAATGCATTTTTAAATCTAAATTGAAAACTAATTTCTTTAGAACTGCTTTTTGTGCTTAGTTTGTTGTCCTTCTGCCCGCACCTCTGATTAGCATGGTGGGCTACGTACGGTGCGATGGAGGTTCAACATACAGACATAAATAGATGGTGTTTATTTGCATCATCTTCAGGCTCAGGGGTGCTCTAGAGATTGTTTGATCCCATCGACATGGCGTGGAGTGGCACTGAAAGATGACAGAAGAGAAGCGCTTCTGAAGTCGCTGCAATCGCGTCACTCGACCAATGCCAGAAGGTAACCCTGGAGGTAAAAGTAGTGAGGCAGTCTTATAGGTTAGATACCGATATTAATTGCAAGCCAAAGGGACCTTGGAATTGGAATCACTCGGTCATACTTTAGTCCACTGACGATTAGCCTGGCAGTGGCACCGCATCGTCGTTTGAAGAGTCGGGACTTGGAAGGCTGCACGAGAGTTGTAGTAGAATAGACGAGAGATCGTGTGCAATGCACGGTCCCTGGTTAACAAGTTGTATGATGTACGGGCTAGGATCGAATTCCAACGAGAGACACGGGACTGCAAAGTTCTGTGTTTCAAGGAAAGCTGGCCGAATAGAAACATCACGGACGCAGCCATCGGGCTAACAGGCTTTTCTCCTTTTCGCCACAATCGGACTTTGAACAGTGGGAAAATAAAAGGTGGCAGGTTGTATGTGATGATCAACGCATCTTGGTGTAACGTGAGTAGTGTCTCCATCAAAACGTCTTTGTGTTCACCAGATGTAGAGTTTGTGATCCTATCATGCCGCCCTCATTACCTCCGAGAGACTTTCATGCGATTGTTTTAGTCGCTCTGTCTGCCCATCCGAGCGCCAACACCACGCCGGCTATGGACGTATTACACAAAACACTCTCTGCACTGGAAACCAAACATCCGGATGCTGCTGTGATTGTAATTGGGGACTTTAACAGAGCAAACCTTAGGAGTATACTCCCAAAGTGTTACCAACATGTGAAATGCAACTCCAGAGGAGACGTCATCTGGGATCACTGTTATTGAATGCTGAAAGATGCCTACAAGGTGTTCCCCCGCCCACCGCTCAGGAAGTCCGACTACAATGTCATCTTGCTGCTGCCAAAGTACCGCCCTTTCTTAAAAAAGACAGGCTCCCACTGCAAGAGTAGTCCAATGCTGGTCAGAAGAAGTAGAGGACAGTCTCACAGATGGCCTGGAGGATACAGACTAGGATATGTTTAGGGATGCGGCCAACAACAAAGTGGAGGAATGTGCATCGACAGTGCTAGGTCATATCAAGTTCTGCATGTATGTTGCGATGCCAACCAAGACTGTCCGTTCTTACATAAATGACAACCCCTGGGTTACAAACGCAGCAGTCAAAGCAGCACTGAAGGACCAACACAAAGCATGCAAATCCAGAAAGCCCACTGAAATTAGGAGGACCAAATACACGGTCCGAAAAGCCATCAAGGCGGGCAAGAGACAATACAGGGACAAGTTGGAGGCCCTGTACCACGACTCCAACTCTAGGAGCCTGTGGCGCGGATTACGGTCCATCAAAAACTACAAAGGAACAATAAGCTGCGAGGCAATCAACAATGCCTCCTTCCCTGACCAGCTCAACACCTTCTACGGACGGTTTGAGGCAAACAAGGCTATCCCTGCACCCCCAGCTCCACAGTCCCCCCGGTATCCCCCTACGTCTCCCACCTCCATCTGCCCCCCATTGCACCGACCACAGCTCTCCTGCAGGCGTCCTTAGGCTCAACAGAGGCGAGGTGACAAAGATCCTCCGGCAGGTTGGCACACAAAAGTCAGCTGGCACAGACGGGATACAGGGGCGTGTCCTCAGGGCATGCACATCCCAGCTGGCCCCTGTGTTAAAAGACATCTTCAACCTTTCCCTCCCCCGGGCTGTCGTTCCAACATGCCTCAAGATGTCTACTATCATTCCGGTCTCCAAAAAGGCCAAAATTACGTGCCTTAATAGCTACAGATTCGTAGCACTAACCCCCAACATCATGAAGTGATTCGAGAAGGCAATCAAGAAACACATCTGCTCCAAATACACTGGATCCCCAGAAGTTTACGTATTGTACAAACAGGTCCACGGACAACACTATTTCTATCTAGATTTGAAGATGAATGGGTACTCGGACCGCATTATACGCAAAGCTGTTGCTCCAACTATGGAGAAACAACCCCCTGAGATGCCGATCAAAACCATCACGTTACCATACATAGCAGGTGTTACCAAAAAGATTTCCAAAATCTCAAAAAACACAAGATCCAGGTCCGATTCAATACAGTACACAAAATCCGTGATCTAATCCCATCTGTAAAGGATGTCATTCCTGACATGCAATATCCTGGAGTCTACAAACTAAGTTGCACCTGTGGTGGCTGTTACATTGGGTAAACAAAACGACATATCTCGGACCATGTTCGCGAACACAAGGCAGATCTGAAACACGGCAGAACCAATACCTCTGCCGTGGCTGACCATTGTTATAACACTGTGGGCTTGCATGATATTGCTTTTCCGAAACCAACGTACTCTGCAAACCTTCGGGCTACTATCAAAGGTTTGTTCATGAAGCCATCCAGATATATAAACATAACTTCAACCGAGAAGATGGATACAAATTGAGCAATCATTGGAAGGATGTTATTAACCAGGTAAAACCCTAACTGCTTTATATTGGTTGTCGTCTATCATATCTGCCGGGTACTACTACACCACGCAGCGCTCGCCCTCCCCCACACCCCCACCCCTCCCCCCTTGCGCCTCCCCCTTTCTTACCTATATAACCTCTTACCACGGCAACTCTCTCCCCCACTTCAGCAAAAAAAAATATTGCTGTGGTTTTCCCACCTGATGATGATTGCTTGTGTTGCAATCGAATCGTCGTGATTTATTTTATACCTACGTGACTTTACCGAAAGAACCAAAGAGTAACGCTATTTCTATTACATAAGGCACTGCCCCACCTCGAGGTGAAGGAGGGTAACAATGTGAGAATGCTGTTTATCGATTAAAGCTCCCCATTCAATACCATAGTGCCCTCCATCCTAATCTCCAAACTGGAGGCCTTGGGTGTGAACGCCACCCTCTGCAGTTGGGTCCTGGACTTCCTAACGGGAAGACCAGAGTCGGTAAAGGTGGGCAATAACGTCTCATCTTACTGGACCATTAACATAGGTGCCCCCCAAGAATGTGTGCTTAGCCCCCTCCTGTACTCGATCTACACAATCGACTGTACAGCCAGGTACAACAGCTCCAACGCTATCAAGTTCTCCAATGACACGACAGTGGTGGGTCTGATCACCAACAATACCGCGGCTTACGTGGATGAGGTGATGGCTCTCTCGACGTAGTTTCAAGGGAACAACTTTGAGCTTAATGTCGGCAAAACTAACGGGGCCTCAGTGGAGCGGGTCAACAGCTTCAGGTTCCTCAGAGTTCACATCTCAGAGGCCCTGAAATGGTCCCGGCACGTGGATACACTGGTGAAGAAGTCCCAGCAGCGACTTTATAACCTCAGAAGGCTGAGGAAATTTGGCATGCCCGCACATGTTCTCAAGAACTTTTACAGGTGCACCATTGAGAGCATCTTGACTGGCCGCATCACCACCTGGTACGGTAACTGCACCGAACGGGACCGGCAGAGGCTTCGGATGGTGATGCGGTCTGCCCAGCGGATCACAGGTGGCGTGCTGCCCACCCTGAGAGATCTATACACCAAGAGGTGCATCATGAAGGCCCAAAAGATCATCGCAAATTCAAGCCAGCCAGGCCATGGCCTTTTCATCAAGAAACAATGCAAGAGGAAGCCCGGCTCCATCAGCATTGCGGCTACCACCAACCGCCTCAGCGGCAGCTTCTATCCCCAGGCAATCCGGATGCTGAGCTGAGCAGAGCCCCACGCAATATCTGCCCAAGCCCCACCAACCCTGATTTGGCTACCCCCTACCGCCATTCACACTCTCTTCTCCCCCCCCGACTGCACTAGACAGTAACCAAACAAGAACATCTAGCTCACCCGCAGGGAACCCTATTTTTGTTATGCACATGTCACTTTATCATCTGCACAGCTATTTTACTTGTTTTTTAATAAACGTTTTCTATCTTTCTAGATTTTAAGTTTTCGTGACTGCAAGGATCCATACTCTTTGGTTCTTTCGGTAAAGTCACGTAGGTGAAAATAAAACAAAATAAAAAATAATATATCACGACGTTTCGATCGCAACACAAGCGGTCGTCCTCGGGCAGTGGAACTGCTGGGGTTCAGCAGTTCCACTGCTGGATAATTTTTTTCCACCCGAGGACGACCGCTTGTGTTGCGATCGAAACGTTGTGATATATTTTATTTTTCTACCTACGTGACTTTACCGAAAGAGCCAAAGAGTAACGTTTTATATATTTTACAATATTGTTGCTGCTGTTTACATTGTTGTTGTTAATTTGCACAAGCTGAGAGAGCAACACGTCAACCCTGCTTTATCGGAGGTGTGGGGGAAGGACAGCAAACTAAACACAAAAAGCGCTGCGCTGGGAAATCGGCGACACCAGTTCGATTCCTGCTCACGGCTAACATCAGTGACGATTACCTGAACCGGTCCTGGGCCTTTCCTAGTCGACTCAGCCTCAAATGGGTACCTGGTGCGCTGTGTAAACATCGACACTGGGGAGACAAAGGCAAGTCGGGAGTGGATCTCGCCACCCTTCCCCTCGTGTGCCGCTGTGCCGGCTTCCATCGGCGCTGCTACTCGCTAACGGCACACTTGCCCCAGCAGTCCGTTCAGGCTGTACGGGGGGCGGTGATCTTTTGTCTTTGTTTTGTACGTGCGAGCGCGTCCACGTTTGTGCGTCCGGACCCGCTTCACGGCGAGGGTGGCGATGCCCAGCATGGCGGCGCCGCCCACGCCCAGCACGAGCCGCGCGTTGGAGAGCACGAAGTCGATGGCGTGGCCGATGCCTCGGTCTCCCCTGTTGCCGGGGGGCCCGCGGCCCGCTCCCGTTGGGCCCAGAGAGCCGTCCCCAAAGCCCGCCATCGCACTGCCCTGCACACACAACAACCCAGAGACAAAGATAGATCGCCTGTGACAGGCTGTTGGGGCAAGTACCGTGAGCGAGTTGCACCTCGGAAGGCCGGCACGGCACACGAGAGGGGTGGGTGGCCAACACCACGCCAGGCCGCCTTCGTCTCGCGAGCGGTGATGTTTAAACACAATTAAAAATGACTTTTTTTGCGATTCTGAAAAGTTTTAAATACTCCATTTGACAGCAGCGTAGACATGAGTGGAGAAAGATTAGTCGACTGAAAAGTCCCGCACTGCAGAGTCGTGCATTTCAATTGTGAAAATCAAATCACAACGAATGTGCGATTGACCCCGGCTGTCCCAGCGGTGTATTTACATTGTAACACGAGGAGCCTGTTCTCGTTAGAGGGAGGCTGCGTGTCGATCGATTTAACAAGATTGACGCGTACCTGAGATGCACGGAACAGCGCCACTACACGAAGCGGTGAGAATGAATTCGGGCGCAGTCCGAGTGAATTACGAGTTTAAAAATAACCACGGCAATGGGAGGCACAGACTTAAAACACCCCCCCCCTCACCAATCATTTACAGAAACAAGGCCGCAATGTTTTTCACAAATCTCAGTTATCAGAAGCAAAGAGAATTGCGTCTCGTCATCATCGTTAGCGTGGGTCACGTCTCGTGGTCCATGATCCCTGTGCTCGTGCCCCTGGCTCCCATCTCCTGCCCCTTGATCTCTGGTCCCATCTCCTGGACTCGTCTTCTGACTTCTGATCATTGGTCTATGTCCCCGATCCCTCATCTCCTGGACTCATCTCCCGGTCTCTCTGGTCCCTGGCCGCTCGGGAGGGGCGGGGGAACGCGACGGGACGAGGCGTCGCCTTAGACCACGGCGTCAACGTCGTGTGCCAAGACAAACATCGCCCCCGTAGGGTATTGACAAACTGTTGGGGCCAGTGCTGTTAGCGAGCACTTATGAAGGTCAACACGGCCAGCACCACGTCCGGGCCGCCTTTGTCTCCCCCGTGCCGATGATGTTTACACACCGCACCAGGTACTCATCTGAGGCCGAGTCGACCTAGGCGAGGCCCCGGACCGGTTCAGTTACTCGTCACTGGCGGTCACCGCGAGCGGGAATCGAACTCGGGACGCCGGGTTCGTAGCGTAGCGCGCTAACCACTGAGCCACCGCTCCCCAGGCACGCACGCACCGTGAGGCTGCCCGCGACGGGCACCGTTGGTTCCGAGGCGAGGGAAGCGCAAAGGAAAAGCGAGGAGGGGAGCGAGGAGGGGAGCGGTGGGGAAGGAGAGGAGCTCGAGGCGACTCCCCGCGTCTCCCGCCAGCGGCCTTCCCACACGGGGCGCACACCGGAAGCGGCGCCACGGCCGGAAGAGGCGTCATATCGGTATCCCGATCGGAAGTGGCGTCATCGGCATATATTTTTTTAAAAGAAATAATAGTAAACATATTTTTAACACATTCGTGAATAAAACCGCGGCATCGCGAAAGGAACTGTGTAGTAGTCGACGTGTCGGGCAATGGGCCCTTCTCCACGGTACGGAGAGGCCGAAGATACATTGTAAATAGGAAGTGACGTCATAATAACATGTAACCTAAGGGGGTTACATGTTGAATGGGGAATGGACGAGGGGTGGGAAGGGGGTCCTGGCCACGTGACCTGAAGGTTACAATACATGGATAATACTTACTGATGTTTATCATACTCTTTGGTTCTTTCGGTAAAGTCACGTAGGTATAAAATAAAATATACCTACGTGACTTTACCGAAAGAACCAGAGTATGGATTCCTGCAATCACGAAAGCTTCAAATCAAGATGTTTATCATGTTATTTTTTTTTAAATCATGAAAATAGTGTTTACCACCTGTATTGTTATGCGCGCTATTACCGATACCCCAATGTGAAGCCCCTTGTATATTGCTAATCGGAAAGAAATTTCGCTGGCGAGAACGCATCCCCATGTATGCAATGGTATCACGACCCCAGTTAGTGCTCACTCTTCGAGCAACGCATCTTGAGCGCGCTAAGCGAGGCCTGCCTCTATTTTGTTTCACCAGGCGAGAGGCCTCAAAACACGAGGCGGGATGAGTTTCATTTGCAAAAGTGACCTGGGTCAGCCAAATTACAAAAGAAAAACAAATAAAATATCGCACAATCCCGCAATGGAAAAAAAACGGTGTCCTGGGAGAAATATAGACGATTGCAGCAACAAAAATCAACTCAAGCGTTAAATAATAACACATCTCCTGGAGTCGAAGACCGGGGAGCCGTCTGATTGTTAACAATTCCCAGATTTCGTACGCAGTTTGGATCAAAAGCATTCAATGTAGATGCTGGCCCAAGGTGTTTGCTATCTCTGCCTATCGTTGTATGTGTTGTTTGTTGTTGTAACCTTCTGACCCGCCCCTACTGGACATCTGTGAAAAAGAGTTGCATAGCTCATCGGATTTCTCCAGTATATATATTCTGATTATGTCCTCATTTAAAAATGACTTAAAATAACTCAAGTTTAAGTGTGCATGTAATTGTAAAACATACCGTAAATGCTTTTAAATCACTTCGTTTTTCTCAATAAATATAATTATGGAAAGCTTTGATGTCTGTCGACCGAGTCTTAGCTCAATGGACTTCACTCAGTGGGCAATAAACGCGTGTAATTGTGATGTTTGGCATCGAAGACTATTGACCCCAGCGGTGCAGAGGGCTGCGGGGCACACACCACGTAGCACATTCCCGACGTGCACATCTTCCTGTGTGCAGCTCGTCAAGTTCTCCCCTTGTTCTGCACGGCTTTCCTCCGGGCTCTCCAACATCCACGGCCGGTGTGGCGGGTGGATGAGCACGTGGGAGCCGTGACGTCAGCACGCACCAAGGCCGGCTCAACGCTGCGGAACGCGGTGACGTCACGAGCGGTCACCAAACGTCGGGCGTGAGCCAGGCAGACAGGAACCCAGGCGGAAAGCACGTGGCTGCTTTTCAAACAACAGCAAAATACGAGAAATGCGTCTGATATTTCAGACTCATTGTCTCTTGAAGTATTGGCAAATCTGCAGAAGCACCATCAGTCACGTGCTGTATGTGTGTAGACCTTTCGCACCGTACGTAGCCAACAGCGCTGTTTGAGTTTAATTTATGTATTAAAGCTATCGCCATCCCTCACGGTTGTGCGATGCCACAATCTTGCAGATTAAGCGTATCGTATCACTCCATCCCATTCATCTTGCCATCCTCTCGGGAAGACGGGCAGGAGGAGAGAAGCAAATATACAGAGCCAGAAGTTGTGGTTCGCCACTTGGCTCCTCGGGCACCACAAGAGGGCAGTGGAGACCGGGTGGTGGCGAGCGGGGTCCGTGCCAGGCTGAAAACGAACGGAAGATTTTGGAGACGATCCGCCAATCGTGCGACTGTGGCCACGCCAAGTCAAGGTTATGCGCTCCTTTAATGGATGAGGAGCAAGGCCGTAATTATAATATATTGGGGGGGGGGGGGGGGGCACGCCCCCCCCATATTCAAATATGCTCAAAATGTCCCCCCCCCCCAATATATTGCTATAAAAAATATATTTTTAAAAACTAATTGCTATGCTATATAAATAAAAAAACAACAATTTGCTAAAACTTGGCCACAATATCTGGACTTGTCTTCATATAAATCAATGCATAGATTTGTTTATATTATGGTCGTACTTTATTAATCCCTAATCTCAAACATTACATACAATGAAACAATAAATGGTTAAAAAGTAAAAACAGAGCAATGTAATACAATACACTATTAGACATTATTGTAAAAAATAAAATAAAAAAGTCCATCCCATTGGTTAGTGAATTTTTTTTATATTTTACGGCAGGAAATGAGTTTTCAAGTGTAGATATTTTTCTGGGTTGGGACCCCCAGACCCCCTGGAAGATTTGGTCTCCCCCAATGTTGACTTCATGGCTACGGCCTTGATGAGGAGTAATAGCAAAGCTACACGTATGCTTTCGCAACCAATATTATTCATAATAAAGGGTTTTTTTGGGGGTTAGATCGCGCAAATATAAATGTGTCGTTAAACCCGCCAACACAGGAAGTCTTTACATCATTAGACCTCTTTTGCCAGTACCAAAATATAATAGGGTTTTTCCCCTTTTTTCTGGCAACAAAACTGAAACCTTTTTTACAAGGATGTCTGCATTAACCACAATACCTGCAGTCAAAATGCAAACAAAAAACATACTATGATAATATATGATGCATTGTCCTTGAAACTGATTGGTCCACACCAAGGGGACGGCTTTCTCTTGAGCCTCGACTCAATTGGTGCTCGACCAATGACGCCAAAAGGCGTCATCTGGTCGAGCATATATTATCATAGTATGTTTTTTGTTTGCATTTTGACTGCAGGTTTTGTGGTTAATGCAGACATGAATCCTTGTAAAAAGGTTTCGGTTTTGTTGCCAGAAAAAAGGGGAAAACCCCAATTATTACAGGAAGTCTTCTTCACAATTTTGACAAATCGCCTGACGAAGCTGGTAGTTGTAATCACCAGAGAAACGTCGTACGTGAATTGTAAATGTTGTGGGCTTACTCTCCAACACGCCGGTGTACTTAAGTAGTAACTAATTTGCACGTTTTTTTACGTGACAACCCTTACTAATCAGCTGTGTCGGGTGGTGGCGGGTTTCACGACGCAAACATGTACAGCAATGAAGCAAAAGAGAAATCGGAGGAAAAAACAACTGCGTTACTCGTGGTGTGGTCAGTGGGGTCACCTCCGAGCCACCAGGTCAACCAGCCGCTCGCCACGGGCACCCAGCACATTGTGGGCCCTTTGCTAAAACTACCATCAGAATGGTTCAATCTTGTTCTCGAGTCTGTCTTGAAAACTAACCTCTGTAAAGTGGCCTTTAGCCCCCTAGTCCTTACCCTGCAGGTTCTGTGTATTTTCTGGCTTTCTATACACGCCACACATCGGGGTCCACTGAGAGAACACGCGTGAGAGAGAGCAAGATGAACACGTGAGTGAGAGGACACGTGTGTGTGAGAGAGCAAGATGAACACGTGAGTGAGAGAACACGTGTGTATGAGACAGAGAGCAAGATGAACACGTGAATGAGAGAACACGTGTGAGAGAGAGAGAGAGCAAGATGAAGACGTGAATGAGAGAACACGTGTGAGAGAGCAAGATGAACACGTGAGTGAGAGAGCACACGTGTGAGAGAGAGCAAGATGAACACGTGAGTGGTCGGGTGGAGGACACTGGGTCGCGGCTGGGGTCCTGGCCTTGCCACTGGACGAGGGTGGTCACGGGCTGGTGTGTGTGCAGAGTCAGCTGGCCACCTTCCGACTGCAGGCCGCGCAAAAGTTCCTGCACGCCGTCCCGGCACCGGCCTGGAGCGTCACGGCCTCCTTCCTCCTGAAACAGCTGGGGGGTCTGCAGTGCTCCAAGCAACTATTCTACATGGACCTGCAGGGCTTCCCACTGGGACAGCTGCCACCCTTCTACAGAAGCGTCCTGCAGACATGGAGCTCCCTCGCCGTCAGGAGGCTGAACCAACCGCGATCGGCCGAGGATCTGGTCTTCAAACCGATCCTCAGGAACCCACAAAGCTGCCATCCACCACCGCCACCCCAGGCATGGAGAGGCGCCTCGTCAACGCGCGGCTCACCAGGATGGGAGATCTGGTGGAGCCTGAAACACGGGGCCGGTGGCTCGGACCAGCAGACATGGCCGCAAAGACAGGGCTGCAGTCGCTCCGGGTGGCTGCCCGGATCCTGGCCGAAGCCAAGGGGGCCTTCTCAGCGGCAGCGGGGAGAACGCCCCCCATCGGCGTTGGGGATGACGAGGCCCCTCTTGGTCCCCCTCCACCGGAGCTCTCAGTCGTGCCACTGCATCGCCAATGCCGACAAACGAAGGCGGATCACAACCTGTGCCGGCTGGAAGACCTGCCGGAGGTGGCCTTCGCAAATGTAAAGAGGAAGGTGCTCTACTCTTACATGGTCCGGTTCCACCAACAGGACACCCTGAGGAGCCACAAGGACCATGCCTGGAGGAAAGCCCTGCCCTGCATCTCTCCGGAGAGGCCTCGCTGGAGGCAACTCTACTCCAGCCCGACGTACAACCGCATCGGCGACCTCAGCTGGAGCATCGCCCACGGCACCGTCACCACCAACGCCTCCCTGGCGCGCTTCACCGACACGTCCCCGGAGTGTCGGTTTTGCGGTAAAGTGGAGACGGTGGCGCACCAATACGTGGAGTGCAAGAGCCTGGACTCGCTGTTCAAGGTCCTGAGAAACATCCTCCTAAGGTTCAGCCTCCACTTCTCCCCGACGGTCCTCATCTTTGGATACCCGAAGGGCGACGGACCCCAACATCTTCAGGGGCTGGTCAACGTGCTCTTCGGCTACGCCAAGCTCGCC